GGGTATAAAAACGCAACTTAAGATATTCGTTATATCGGGAAGCACATATTAGCAAAATATCGTATAAAGAATACAATTTTCTTTGCCTGTTGACCTGAGTTCATTAAATTATTTATTTAAATCCTTTCCTATTTCTGATCATTTTTGCTTTGGTGATCATCATTATTTTTTTTTCATCCTTCAGGGCCTCTGCTGCTGAAACCATGGCGATGTCAAACAAAAAATGGATACTTAATTTCTATTTAAATCCTCCCCCCCCCCCGAATTTTTTCTAAAATGCTTATAACCAATAGCTTAAATATTTTCAATATAAACAACTGCAATGACATAATTTATGTTATATAGAACTTATCAGTGCTTTGCCGAGTGTCTTACTTCCCGAAATATGAAATATGAACAGTTGTGGAGAAAATTTTGATGTACATGCAACAACAAAATCGATAAACTTGTGATGTCAAACAAAAAATGGATACTTAAATTTCTATTTAAATCCCCCCCCCCCCCCCGAATTTTTTCTAAAATGCTTCTAACCAATAGCATCTAATATGTTATATAAACTTTCCTCACAATGAATTAAATGACTTGTATGCAACTGATTTTTAATATAAATAAATATACAATATAACCTCTGATTGATCATCTAAATAAAAAGTCACCCTGATTTAACACAATTACTCTGAAGTTAATATTAAACAACCTGAGTCTCTCGTTAACACTATCCATGTGGTCCGGTGAGACCAGTTGGTCTCCCAACAATTCACACTTCTCATGGATACTATGCACCCTGATTGGTTTTCCCCGAGTGTTTCAGGGGTCCTTGTTTGCTCTGCTATTTAATTAGCATTTCATCGAACATTTAAGAATGATTACTGTTCCTTATGCTATTTTTTTTACATTCAGACATCAATAAAAGCTGAGGAATTTGATAAAAATGATTAATAAATGTACACTTCCGTTAATATACTAAAATATGAAATATTAAAATGAAATGATAACTATGAGGATATTTGTTTCCAAATACCTTTTGTGTAATGCAGCGATTTATGTTTTATTTCAGATTTAATGTCAATTAAACTTTCACAAATTTAAAAAATATACTAGTTAAAATTTCTAAGTCCCCAGGCAAGTTTTTGCTTTGCACCGCTCTTATATTGAATTATTTTAACAGTATAATTTAATAAGTATACAGGATAAAAAAGTAGCAAAACAATTTTCTCACTTAATTTATTTTATTGAAGGACTTTAACACAATATGCATAAATGTTAAGGCACTCTAGAATTGAAAATTCACAACGTTAAATACTGCATTATCCTCCATTTAAACGAATTCACAGGAAGACAACCGTTCCTCAAAGAGTTCACACTATTTAAGAAAAATTCTTTTATTGAATGTTTTTCCATGTGGAGACTAGGTCGTCCTCTAGTTCCGCTAGATTCTGCTGCTGGAAAAGCTGTCTCAAACTCCGGTTTAACTTCTTCCATATGTTTTAGTTAGGGTTTAAATTAGGATGACAAGGGGGCTTACCGAAAGTGCCTGTGCCTTGCTAACAAAAGTTACATAATGTCTTATTGCTAGCGCGCTCTCGAGCGCTAGCAACTACGTTAGTCCAAATTCCCTGAATACGCATGCTCGGCTTCACGGTCGTGCATTCTGGGAAAACTGGGAAAACTTCTACAGTAGACCGTACGATAGCAATTTCGTTGTATCATGTTGTACAGTAGCATTAAATAACTAAGTTTATTTATTGTGTAGCTTACACTTTAAAGATAACTACATATTTGTAATGCTTCAAATTTTCCTTTTTTCTGACGGAAAAGCCCGAGTCATTAGCTGATTGTTCTAAACAAAGATAAGGGTTTTTTTTTTTTTACGTCTAAGCACAACCAAAGATAGACTCTAATTTCTTACTGGTCAATTCAGCCAATCTTATAAATTCCAGAAATAAGAATTTACACTAAAAATAACGAATAAATTCATTATTTATAAAAAAAATTCTGATGTGTATGGCTTTTAACCTAACATTTCTTGACAAAGATGACCCAAGGGACCAAGCTACTTCACATCTTTCTGGATTTCTTTATACAACGTACACTTTGAGTTATTTTCTATATTCCTTTTAACTTCCCTGTATTTTCTTTGCTTTATTGTCAAGAAATTCTATTCTTAAACTAGCTCATACAATGCCTCAATCAGCATCTTCTCCATATTATATAGAGTCTCCCCTCCTCTCCAGTAAAGGTCATAAATGTTCCGTTGCGCCAAAACTCCAATAGGTCAAACCCCCCTCCTTTCTTTACCTATGTGTCTATAAAATACACTTCACAAAACAATTATAACTTTATCACTCTTCAGCCTCGATAAAAATTAAAGAATTCAGCAAAATAAATCACTTGATCACGAATCCTCCTTTCTTTGTTTAACCCTTTCTCTACCGGCACATTTTAAGCGTTATTGCAGACCTTTTGACATATCCTTATAAATCAATTTATAACTTTTTTATTCAAAGAGTAATCTAGGCATTATGTATACCATCATTTTGTAGGGACTTTTCTGGAGATGATATTTCATAACTACGCAGGTACCTCACGACTGACCTTGCTAGTGGAAATTAAGGTCAAAGGTCAAATAAGTGCAGAATTTTATTGCATTTTTTGACACATTTTAATCTTCAAGTTAAAAATTAACAGTGATACACATTGAAATAGGAAATTCAGAATAAACACATAAAAGGGCATTATTCTTTACTACATTAATCACATAAACTTTTTTTTCAATTCTGCAAATAATGACTTTAAAGAGGTTGCTAAGCAACGGAGTATTTTTCAATTTTCAGGCAGTATTTCTTGTTTGTTGCTCATCCAACACACATTTATGCATTCCATTACATTGAAAAATCAAATCTGGGGTAATGATACTGAAAATAATATACATCAGATAATTGTCTTAAAGTTTGACCTCATTAGATTCATTTTTTTGGAGGTCAAAGGTCAAATAAGTGCATAATTTTAGAAATTTTTCCCAAAACTTTTCATCTTTCTTGCATTTTTAACAATTGCTAAAGAAGAAAATTCAAACTCTTTAGAAGGCATCATACTGAATTGTAGCTGCAGATCTGTAGCGTTATGGGGACCATAACGCTACAGATCCCGTAGTGCAAATAATACTTTAAAACTAACTCCCCAATTCTAGACACATATCCACCTCCCAACCGTTTATAGTTGTCTCTACAGGCAATATTACTCGCTTGAAGTGAATTTTCAGTAATCTAACAAATAATTTTAATCAGGCGAGTTTATCCCTTGTAGAGACGACTATAAAGGGTTGGGAGATGGATAAAATATACAGATTAGTTAAATAATGTTTCTAGAATTAGGGCTTGAAAGGTAGTTGATTGAACGATGCTGGAAAGTGGAGAAATTTTTCAAAGACAAATATATTAACGCTACAGATCTGCAGCTAACTGAATTGCAATATCCACATATTATTTTTGTTCAAAATTGTGTTAAATGACCAAATGGTTGCTAAGCAACAACAATAATTTTTTGGCTTTATAGGTTTCTTATTTCTTATTCTACACAGTTTTCCATTGTAAGATATAAGGTCAAAAATAATGTATAAAACATCCAACAAATAATTGTCTTAAGTATTGACCCTGAAATTTCTCTTTGGGGGTTAAGGTCATATCATACAGAAATCTGCCTTAAATTGTAAGTATATATCAAATGAAATGCTGCAATTATTATGGACATAGGTTTGTAAACAACAAAATCAACGGAGATATCACAAAAGTGAATAATTTTTATTTTTTTTTTTCAAAGGTCATTCAAAAAATATATCTCTGACTTAAGGATGTATTCTTCTGATACCCGGAAAAAAAACGTGCATTAAACTTTCCATAAGCTTATATACATGTATTTCTGAAAGTGTAATATTCAAGGAATAATTTAAAGACAAGAAAAGTATATGTTAGTGTTCATCTAAGAGAGATTCAACCCCTCGAACATAGGCCAAAATAGAGCATGGGAAATTCCATAAAAAATGCTATTAGACCATAAAATACCCCATAAAGTTATAAATATAATCAATTTAAACTTAATTTTTCTTAGATTTACTTGAAAGTATTGCAAAATTGATTTTTTAAGCAAAATATGAGCAAATAAATACCAATTAAATATAACTTGTACCCAAAAATGTTGTTCATCTGTGTCGAAATAAGGCAAATTGCTACGGCGCTAGCTCATCAATCTTTTTAAAAGATAAACTTGTTACATGTGAACCCCCCTCCTCCAGTTTGACATTGAGGGGAGGGCACTTCCGGTTCCGGTTCTATTGATTTTTCCGGATAAACTCTAGGATGATTTTGTTGTGTTTGTTGAAAATCTAGCGAATTCTAATGATTAGAAGGAATCCAGGTATACTTTGTAGGTTTTTCGGGCGATAATTATAAAGGTTTTAAGTAAAATAAAATCATACAGTGAAAGGAAACAGAACTCTCGTTAACTACGACCAGCTTGGGCCTTTTCAACTTCACTTTCACATTGTTGTGTGGACATACACTGCATTTTAATCAAACTTTTTTCTGTTTTTCGTTATCAATTAAAGATGGAGAACACATGGAAGTAAAAAATATTAAGAATACACCCGAAAAACATATCGAACTCGAACTTCATGCTTTTTAACAAAAACGGTCACGGTCGAGTAATTACACATTCGATTATATTTTTTTTGGCCTTGACAGGTAAATATTGCAAATTAAAGGCAAAATTGTAAGCAACTAGTACATTGATGTTAAGGTTTTGAATTTTTTGAAAAAATTAAAGTGGGGACTTAGAAATTTTGACAAGTATATATATTCTTTAAAAAATAATTAGTTGCATTTATTCTTCAAATTTTATTTTCGCTACAAAAAAATATTGAATTTTTATTGCCTAATGTAAGCTAATCAAGGATTTTGGTGTTTTTTTTTCTTTGCCCGATGTTGAAATTAGGAAAAACCAAGTTTACTTTTAAATTTATTTCATACCCAGCGAGGAAATAAACATTTTGATATATCTACATGTATGCATCTAGGAAAATAAACAATACCAATATGGAAATATTAAACATACAGTTTTCAAAAGCCTATAATAAAAATATGTTCACCTTAATAAGGTTGTAAAATATCTTACAGAAAATTGTATTCGTTATTTATCATAATGTGACTAATTTATCTATAATGATTTTTGGTCCCATATTTTCTCGAAATATTCTTCTTTGATGAAGAAAAATAAAGCATGCTTTATTCGTCACTCATCAGTATGTGTAATGCATGCGCGTGCTATCTATTTGAGATGAAACTTCAGACAAATTAAAGCATTTTGTCAAGTTGATTTCTTTACAATGGTAATGATTGTTTACCTGTAAATAAAAAGAGAGAGGTCACAGAGCTACTATATCTCTGATATGCTGACTCTGCAGCTGTACTTTCATTTCTATGACACAATACATGAACAATGCGAGCACTAAAACACCCGCCAACACGATGACTTTGGTTTGAACGCAGAGGAAGTAGCTGTACCCAAAAGCTATTGCGCACCCAGTGGCGTATAACATCCGGTAGCAGGAAAAAGCAGCTTCCTGTTTGTCAATGAAAAGAACACCGAAAAGGGCTGAAAGGCAAGAGAAATATGATAAATCATACATCGGAAGGAAAATATCTTAAATTATCCTCATTATTCATACAAATTACTGCTGATTTCCTAACAATTTATATTAGACTATCTTTCTTGTAAAAGGCAAATTAGCTGAATATGCTCATTTCATAAATATTCGTCATTTTTATGTCATTTATCTTGAGTGGTACAAAGCCTACTGCCTTTCATGTTCCACATACTATATGTTTGAGTTTGCCAAATGGCGTCACAGAGACCAAGACATCCAGCAACTACAAAGAAATTTGGGACATCATCCAGTGTTGGTTTCCACAGCCACAGAACTATCAGAAGACCCACATTAAAGGTGGCACCGGCCGTGATGAAAGCAAACCTCTTGATGTGGCGACTGGCACAAACTCCAATCAGTATACAGCTGGTGGAGCTGACGGCGCCAAAGCACATCATAACGGGTCCTATCTGGGATACGCCCAATGTACAGGATATGTAAGCCTACAAAGTAGACATTTTAATAACTCGTATTGATTTAATATAAAGTTAATAATATTGTTAAATTGAGATCAATTTGTAATTTAATATTATTTTCATACTTCATTAGCTCTATTTGTAATGCCATGCCATACAAAAAAGATATTTTATATCGAGATCAGCTTAGTATAAATCTGTCTAGAATCTTTGCCATTTTCTGTGGAACTTTGCTACTTATCTAACTCATGCAGTATAATTGCCGGGCGTGATTTTTATGCAAGTTTTGAAATTACGCCTTGCCTGCAGAGAAATAGATAATGTTTTACATTCACAAGTGCTTAGAAGTGACCCGGGCTGTTATTCCAATTATTTCCTTTTCCCATTTCTCAAGATGATGAAGTGGTAGTTGGAATTAGTTATGCTTACAGGTGTCAAGAATACTTCAACAACTAAGTCAGAACGTATCGGGAGGGTTGGATGCATAATTGCCTCTACAAAACAGTCATTTCCTTTTTACCGAGCACTGTTCAAATAGAACTTTGAGGATCTGATTGTGAGAATGAACATCGATTCGCACTCGATAACTTCCGTTGGGGCCGGAAAAATCAATGCCATTCTGATTGATTTCTTTATTACACAATCTAGGCTCTTTGACTCCTATTTTCTAATCCTTCACAGGCCGACATCTTTTTAGAAATTAAATAATGCTTAATATCCGTGCAGCTCCGGTGATTAGATACGCGTGTAGCACCAATTACAGCTACTCTATGTCAAGATCTGGGTCAGAAAAGCAGTTTTTTAAATCAATAACGTGATATTTACAAGAAACATAACCATGTAGCTCAGCCCTGGAGAATCGCTGATGGAGCGTTTTGATTAACGTTTTATCATTTCAGAAAAACGCCCTTTCAACTAGCGCGCGGCAGCTTTGATATTGACAATTAATAAATGTCGCATCTCCATATTAAACTGTTGTATCACTCCTCCACTACTCCTACCTAGCCTATGAACTTGGTCTAGGAATTCTCACTAGTAGGACGATGCATTCTACATTGCTGAAGTCCATTTATTGCCGCGCTTTTGGTTCACAGAGAGGCACAATATCTCTTCAGTCTCCATGTTAAAAAATTGTATTGGAGTACAAGGGCTATCTATATTAATACATGTATTAAAATATCTTGTTTAAAGAATACATTTTTATTCAAAGTTATAAAGCCAACTTGGAATGAACACAAGAACTCCCGAGGCTACCCTTGAATAAAGGCAAAAGGGGTTTCTGATCGGATTTCTGAGTGAACTATAGATGTATAATTTACCATTATTGCTCTTTATTTTGAAGTAAGATACGTGTTGCTAACTATCTGTGTATATTCCCCTGTGTGTAAAATATTATGTTTTTGCTTTTAAGTGAGCAAAACTACAGACAGTGATCAGTTATACTTCAGAATATTTATTGTGTAATAACGTTACTTGAAATAGTAACAGTAAAATTTTTCAACCCTTATCCATCAGGTGAAGTAAATTACTTTGTTGAATCCTTTATCTAATTACATTTATCGGTTTATATGATATGCTAATAATATTAGCTGTACACTGAAAAAAGATTATTTTCTTAAAACTAAGACAATTTTGCATTCTAGGTGTAAGTTATGTGGGGTCATTTTCAGTGGATGCTTTCAGTAAACTAGTATGCTTTAAAGTCACCCAACATACACAAAGATTGCTAACAACCGCCAAATAATATTTACCATCAAGTGGCACTTTATGCTAATGACAATAACATGTAAGTCAAACTCCCTGGTCTGAGTTATGGATCGGTGGAATGTTTAAAATCCCTTCCTTATGAATACATATTGATGTCATAAAGAATTACAAATGGTTTAATATTTTTAGTTATTTAAGAATAAAGTCGTAGTTCGGAACCATTCTCCAATGCTTTTAATAGCTCAACTGATCATATCTAACAACAAAGCTTTATATCAAACTTGATGACTTTTCAATCTTTAACCTCCCTTACTTATGCAGCAATATACCTTTGTAACCTGCATAGGGAGTTCAGATCAGTTGATTCGATACGGAAGAGCATGTTCTACGAATAAACAATATCTGAAACGATGTAAACTATTGACAAACAAGTTGATAAAGCAAGAATATTAGCAATTTCGTTTAAAATCATAATTTCGTAAGTTCTATGATCCATTCAATGATCTCCACATATTTCATAGTAAAATTCATATTTGATTATATTTGGTGCCTGGATAATGATTTCTTCGATTAAAAGGTACAATTTGAAAATGTTGGCATTTTTGAAGATACTGCAACCAGAGTTCATATAAATTACGCGAAACGCCAAAATATAAAATGTCACGCTACCTTTTTCGCCAAACCTTGTAATGTACTGCTCCTCAATTAACAATGCTTAAACCTTGTAAACTTAAGATGGTTGTAAGAAAATCAAACCTGAGTAAAATCGCTGAACATGAATCCCTGCTCCAAACCGACAAAAACTACAATAAGTATAAGGAGTTGACATTTGGAATCCTTGAACATTTTCAGCGTAGATAAAAACATTTCTGATGATGTCAGTTCATCGTCATCATAATGGTGGTTTTTCTTTTTCCTTTTGTGCTGGTCAAAGAGTGAGATTAGTATGACTATTCCCATCACCCCGCAGCCCATGTAAATACTTAATAACATGATCTTTGTATTATGGTCTATCGTTGTCATCAGATCTTCTAAAAGATCGTCGTTAACGTTGTCCTTGAGGCAATACCTAGAACCACACGAGCGGTTTGAATGGTTATGGGTGAAACCCTCGACTTCTGAACTATTTTTATTGATGACTAGTGTTGTAATAAGATTTCCCCAGATGTTGCTTGTCCGATATAGTCCACAAAAAATTCCCATGAATTTGTTTATAACATGATCTTGATCCGGCATATGAGAATGTTCCGCATAGGCCAAAGCTATTGTGGTGATAGAGGTTGCTTGAGCGCTGAACAATGGACCCGCCAGCAGGCCAAGGAGAGCGCCTAGAGGAATGAGCATATAATGTTCGGGATGAAAGTTTCCCGCAAAATAACCCGTAAAGATTACAAATGTCACCACCATTGTCCATTTTGTTGTGAAGCGTTGTATGATCCAGGGAGCAAAGAAACAAGAAATTATGGTACCTATGTATATACTGGAAAGCGAAAATACACCGACACCACTCTTAATATGAAGAGAACTTTGTAAACCTTGCAGGGATACAAAGGCAGTAAAAATAAACATGAACGCCAGTCCTAAAACTATCACATTCTTCAGTGCTTTTCCCTGACTCATTTCGCGCACCGTTCGGAGTGTTTCGGGGTCTTGGGGAAGTGTGTGGTAATTGGAAAGGGTGTAGGAATGTATAGTACTTCTTCGTCGACTTTTGTCGAAGTCTGGTAGGGAGACCAAAAGGTTGGCGTTGATGTGCTGTTGAGATGGAGCCTTCAGGGAAGCCATTAACAGCTTTTCCCGGCATACCTCAATACTCGACATCCCCGTCGCCATCTTACCACGTAATACTGTATGAAAAGTAAGAAAAATACATGAATTTCAAGAATAAGTTGCATTTGTATGCCTTTGTACATGCAAGGGTGCAAATTAAGGGGGTAAAGTTTTAACGTTCTACCGCTAAATCCCAGCAACAAGCTAAAATTAACACCCCGGCCAAAAATCACGCTGTACGATATAACCGGGAGAAGAGAAAGTATAACAGAAAATAAATGTATGATCTACAGATTTATCCTTAAAATGTCAAACTTTCAAACCTCAATTTACTTTGATCTTTAAAGAGAATACATGAAAGATTCATATTCTAATAGTGTGTCATGCATATTTCTTGTAGAATGCAATATGAAACATTGTTGTCTCGAAATGATTTCAACATTTACGTGCTTAATTAATAGCCTTTGAAGCAACAGATCAGACCTTTATGATCGTTCTGAGATAATTAAATAGTCATTTTAATTATTCCGACTTAAAAATCTCTAACTTCCTTGTGTGAGTGTACATGCACTCCATGGTATCAGTGAACTCACTCTAGTCTTAAAGCATTCGATGTTATACAGACGCTGAAAAAACGCAGTCGTATCAGGAAAGAACCAGTAAGTAACAGGAAAAAATAATCAAGAATCTGTAATTAAAGTTTTATAACACTGACAGGTATATATATTTGGTCGAGAAAAAGAAATAAAATCCATATTGATTTTTCTTATCGTGGTATGTTTCCATAACAATAATTGTGTGTATAAACAACATGCAACAAAACGGCTCAGATACTTCAAACGAATGCCAGAAAAAGAGACACGTACTTTATTTTTAGCTGGCTTTTTCAAACTTTAAAGTTGGTAATTCCAACATTAAACTAGGCTCCTCTTACATATAACTTTTTTTCTAGTTAAAAGCTTCTTTATTTTTCTTTGTCCATATTTTACAATTTAAAAGAGGATCTAATAATTGTAAAAATCTCTATAGACGAGAGAACTTCAACCATAACTATTTTAAAAGTGATAAATTAAGTTTGAAAATCCAAAATAAAGTTGAAAAAGCCAAGATTTGATTTGGAATTAACGACGTAAAAAATTGAAAAGCCAATTTTAAAGTTGGGAAAAAACAAGATTTAAAGTGGAAAGTAAGAATAAAATTAGCAACTTAAAAGTTTGAATTGTCAACTTAAAAATCCTAACTTTTAAGTTAGAGTTTCCAACTGTTTACAGCTTTAATAGAATATATTATGTGTCACTAATACTTTTTCGTGTAAATGTCATGATCTTAAATATTAATGTTGACTAGTTTTACAGAACATTGTTGTTTTTTTTTCGGAATGACGAACCCTGATCAAAAAGGACGGCCTACATTTTTGTATGGGGTCAACTCACAGACAAGTAAAAATAAAAACGTCGCTTTCAATGAATCTGTTCAGGAGTAATTTGCATTTCTTCTGCACGCACATGAACTGATGAAATTAGTCTTTCAAATTCAATTTTAAAGATAATCTAAACTTTGAAAGTGTTGAAGTCACAAAAAGCATTGACTGCTTACAAAAATAAAATATAGCTTTTACGGTAAGTATTTAACTTTTAAAGTTGAAAAGTTGGTAAAATGCTTGAATTATTTGTTATTAACGACACACTGTTATCCTACGAGACACAGTCAAAGATACTTTTTGGACTACTGGGAGTTACGTATGCCACGAAACAGCGAGATGACTTTCGATCGAGGGGTGTTTGAAAACTTTTTAAAATTGTAAATAAAATGTAAAGTGTTTTGCAAAGTTGACGTTTTCGACATCATGAAAGTCAACAGGAAAATATATTCGGATTATAAGGTCAAAGAGGTATTTTATGTCTTATTCATTCTTGATGTGACGTCATAATCCTGCCTTGTCTGTAGACTAGAAAACATTTTTGATATACAAATGATAATACTAAGTTCATTATAGTTATTTAGTGATGGAAAACATTATATATTTTTGTGCTTGTCTAATGACCGGGTTTTGGCCAGCTTTTCTTTTAGGATTGGCCTTTATATACAGCATTAAGTGGCGATCTACCTACATGTACTGTAGATTCCTTATTTTAAGGAATTACCATAAATTGCAAAATGACATTCAAACGTTAATCACGGAAACATGAGTTAACCATTTGACTGTTTTTCAGGAGTTTTTCGTGCATTTGATGAAGCGAATTATTATAATTCGCGAGTGGTAATTCTCGCGAAATTACACAATTATTAATACCAGATAAGATACCAACGAGTCTGACACATCTGTTTCATCTTTAGATATTCTACTTGAAAAAGACAATGGCAAATCTAACAACCAAGTTTAATGATAAAGGTTATGACTTTAACTTTACAACGTCAACTTCCCTTTTTACGCAGCAATATACCTTCTTCAACTGCAAACGGAGTTTATATATCTCAGTTGATTCGATACGCAAGAGCATGCTTTATGTATTACAATTTCTAAAACGACGTAAATTATTGACAAACAAGTTGATGAAACAATAATATCAGTAGCCACGTTTAAAGTCATCATTTCGTAAATTCTATGGTCGATATAATGACCTTCTCAGCAAATACAATTTTTCATTGAGTCAAATGCTGACTGCCGTTTTTCATACTAATTGTTAGTCCATTATTTACACACTAAATAGACGACAGATTTTCCCGTTATTTCTCGATCATGACAAGGAGCACACGGCGGGTGTGACCGGTGGGCAGGGATGCTCAATCCTTCATGGCACCTGATCCCCCTCTGATGTTTTAGAGGTCCGTGTTTGCTCTGCTCCTATTTTGTATTGTTTAATGGACTTTTGTGCTTGAATACTGTTCATCTCCATTTAGTTCATATGAATATACATGTATTTATAGGAATTAAAAGTATTTGACATAATATATTGAGTGTTTCCAAAAAAAAGAACCCTCTTTTCATTCATAAAACACACAACAAACTAGACCTGCAGAATTTGCACTTTTTGACAGAACATTGTGACGCCCTTTCCAAGTTCTAAGGACCAAACAATCGATGAAAGTGTCCCGAATTCCGAATAATGACCCGTGTTACTTTGACCCTATTAGACAGATGAGAAAATTATTATTTTGATTCTTTGATTTATTACAGGAGATGTTTCTTTTCCAGAAAATAACGACATCCTGGCAGTTTAATTCTGGGACTGGATTAATCGGATCTGTGGAATATCAGGATGTCAGATTTGTACAAATTAGAGAACTATTGGCCGTCCGTTTCCTAGAACCAAGAACTTAATCACAGAACACGGCGTTATTGACATCCTAAGAAACTAAATATCGGGAGAATATCTAGTTTTCTGATGAACTCGGAAAATCGCTTTTCCTTTCACCCCCTGTGAAAAATGTACGTCTTTCTGAAGTTTCACTTCATACTTTATACTGACTGCGATTGCCGATGTCCATTTTCGTTAACGTTATGGGAGATTATTCAGAATGTATAGAGTACAGGACAATTTTCAGTAGTTTCTAAAGGTCTTCAAGAAAACGTTATGTTTTTGTTGTTGTTGTTATATATAATGTCTCTTGCTGAGAGTTCGGTAGAAAAATTTAGATCAGACAAACCACGAATGAGGAAGATATAATTTTAGAACTTGTACGTGTATTCTTTTTCTCTCATATAATTTACGCAAATTCCGTGTATGTTATAAGCCAAAAATCAAACAGTTTTTACTAGCATTAAAGAACAAATGTGATGCAACACTTATAGTGAAAGATATGTGCTAAAGATTATAAAACGTTTAAAAAAGTAAAACTAAACGTAAGGATTCTTTTTTATTTTTCTTAATTATTCTATTTCAAAGAGCTGATGCTCTGTAATAAATTTTTATATCTATATCTATTTGCCAGTTCATCGGCAGTTTCTACTTCAAGGAATTAATCAAACATTTAAAAATAACAAATTTTTGCATGTAGATAAGTAGACACAGCCAAAAAGCAGAGGAAAGTACAGATAATATAGATTAATAAGGATTTGAAAATAAAAAAAAAAAAATTAAAACGATCAATCATGAATAAAATAATTATCTTCATGGAATAACGTAGGTGACATTTAACGTAACCACATTTCATTCATCATTTAATTGGAAGAAAAACAGAAACAATACATATCCTATTTTTTGTCACTCAGCCACAGATCTAATGATAAACATCAGATTATCAAGTTATTTTTGCATTTTATTAAACTGTCGTTGGTTATCAAATCGCGTTTAAAGATGTATTTTTAATATGATTAATTGAAATGTGACCTCATTTGAAAGTTAAGTAGGAAAATTTTCCATGACCGAACTATTCCCTAAAAGCAATGGGTGCTTTGTATATATAACAGTGCAAAGACCGTCCTAAGTTGTGTATTCATCTAGGATCTTTTTGTCATATATTTTCAATAAATTAGTTCAAAGCAAAACAGAAGCAGCCCAAAACAACATCATATTGTTACAGAGTATTCCGATAACGAAATACATGTATTGGACCTGGGAACCAAACGTTTCCCAGTAATTAACAGTGTGTTTTAGAGAAAGAAAACAAATATTTCATTTCCTTGGGGACAAATATTCACTGTTTGCTAAATCAATTTTAACACCATATCATTGAACTGTTATTCAAACAAACCGACACATATTTGAGTAATTTGATGTTGAAACGAAAACAAAACCTTATCATGCTTATCTGAACTGGATGAAAAAATATCTTCAAGGTTTTTTTTTTCAAATTATTCAATCACATACATTCTATTATATAAGTTGGTGATAAACCAATTGTAGTTTGAAAAAAAAAAACTACTTCAAAACATTATTTAAAATCAAGTAATAAGAGTTTTGATAGATATATACCATTGTCTGACAAGTATTTTTAAGATGAAAAATAAATTTTACTCTCGGAATTGCATGATTTAGATTCCCTCTCAAATTGTAGGGTGAAACATATTGGTCAGAAGTTAACCAAATGATTTGAATAAAAATGGGCATTTATTTGAGTTGTGTCCCGTAGTGAAACGGAATCCACCAATTTTTAATTCAGACATCGTATAAATTATATTTTAAAGTCGATTTGCCATACTCAGTAGTTTAATCGTTAGAGTAGCTTAACTTTTTAAAAAATTCTTCCTGGCATTTCTGACCTACCTGCTGATTTAAGTCCACATGATATCTACGTTATCTTCCAGGAATCTCGGAAAAATACATCCTCGACTCATGATAAATTGGAGCCGACTTCGCTCGATATTTCTGTATTGATTTAAAGAATTACTGTTAATTGATGGATAAAACCAATTAGAGCCGCACCGTTCTCACACGGGCTGATTTTTGTCCCGAGATTGTTAGTTCCTCGTCAAAAACAGTTCCCAAGTTCCCACCATTCTCAGTTTTAAAACCGACTCAAACATTTTTTCGTTTCAGGTACAGTTAATTTGCACTTTCACTGTAAACCTCGTGTATACAACACTCAAAGCATCTTCTGAACTGATATACTCCAGGAACGGTCTATACCAACGATCGGTAACATCATTTTATGACTGTTCTGTTATTGGAAAACTGAATACAAGTCTGTCTATATATACACAGAACGTTATTCATAATTGTTCTGTAATATATGCATTTTATGTGAAGCAGCAGGCGGAATGTTTTCTGGGAGCTATAAAGAGTATGATCATAGATAGGCTGCCCGTGGCTTATTGTATTGGTTTAATAGGATCAAATTAAACCAAACGCTATTTTTATAGCATGCATGTTAATAAAGTCAGCAGGAATAATATTATCGCTAAAACAATATCTAACATTTAGTCCTCTGATAAAAAAAAATAACAACTTTCACGAAGGATGAGATCAATGAAAAGTAAAGTTCAAAGAAATATTTAATGGAACAAAAAGAGAAATATTGATTTTGCTTTTGTTCTGAAAAAAAAATGCATACACTGTGCAGTATTAAAAGTAATATTTCATTTTATAAAAGCTACGAGTATTTATGCATTTCCATAATTTCGGTTTATTTCATCTTTTTCCAACACTTCTTATTGTTATCCAGACACATAAAGTACCCTTTGGCAAATCCATTAAGGATGAATTCTTGTCATTATTGTTCCTAAAATTAATGAAATGTTTGCAGATTCATAAAGACAATATTATAAAGTGATGGTATCAATTAGATTAAATTTGATCGTTTTCTTTAGGAGCAAGGCCAGATCCTTGACATTCTTTTGACAGGGAAACTTATTGTAGTCAGTCAAAGATGTGCATGATGACTTCTATCTTATTAAACATGTTAAATTAAATGTTTTTTTTCTCAGATTAAATATGTATATTTGGAAATAACGAACAGCATTCAAGATCAAAAGTCTATTAAACAATAAAGAAAAGGAGCAGAGTAAACACGGACCTCCAAAACATCAGAGGTGGGATCAGATGCTATAGAGGAGTGAGCATCCCTTGCTGACCGATATCGACTTACAGGAATCTACTTAGAAGTATTTAATGCTAATTTTCAGAGTTAATATTATTATTCTTCCTTAAATGCCAGAAAATATTATATTTTGATTGATTTGATACGGGGTTTACATGTAAATCTCACAGTTGGTTTGATACACAAGAGCATGCTCTACGTATCTACAATTTTTAAACGAGGTAAGTTATTGACAAACAAGTTGCTGAAACAAGAATACCAGCAGTCTCTTTCAAAGTCATAATTTCTTAAGTTCTATGGTCGATGCAATGACCTTGTCAGCAAATACAATTTATCATTTAATACGTCAAATGCTGACTGAAGTTTTTCATATTGATTGTAAGGCCATTTTAAACACACAGATTTTTCAACAGATTTTTTTTAGTTTCCGATAATGACGAGGTGCACATGGCGGGTATGACCGTTCGACACGGGATGCTCACTCCTCCATTGTTCCTGATCCCACCTCTGATGTTTTAGAGGTCAGCATTTGCTCTGCTCCAAAGTTTGAATTGTTTTATGGACTTCTGAGCGTGAATACTGTTTGATATCTCCATATATTTCATTAAACATGTATCTCGCATATCTTAGAATTAACTCATAATCATTTCATTCACTTTAGAAAGTACCTTAAAGCCGTTGATTGTTTTAAAATACTGGTTAAATTCATTATTCTGTTACAATATATAGAAAAATTTAATAAGCAAAGGGGGATTCATTTTCACAAGACAGTCGTTTTGCAAAAACTAAAGTCCCAAGTATACTTTAACTCATTTTTACCATTTCATATAGGATTGTACAATTGTTAAAAAATGTTTACCTTTTTAAATCCTTTTTATCTAATTATAAAGAGATCTACAGAAAAACAGTTTCTATATTTCATTTAGCCGCACACTAGAAAAGAAGCCTTCCATAACTTTAAATTGCTTCACTAAATTTTAATTAAAAATCTTCTTCGTGAAAATTGTACAGTTTATATCAAGTTGTACATTCTAAACAAAAGATGCAGTACATGTATAAGAGCAGAGCAAATACGAACCTCTATATAAAAACATCATTGGTGAAATCTTGTGTTATGGAGGAGTAAGCATCCACTGACAACCGGTCACACCTGCCGTTTTTTCCTTGTCATGATTTGGAAAACAGAACAATATATAGACATTGAATGTTAGGTAATGGCCTGACAGATACAGTGGTATTAAAAAAAAGTCAGTAAGCATTAGACCAAATTTGATTGTATTTGCTGACAAGGTCATTGTATCGACTAAAGAACTTGCGATATGATTTATTCACTCTTTTGAGACTGTTTATATTCTTGTTTCATTAAATTGTTTGTCAAAATATTGTCTCATTTTAGATAAGTTTCACGTATATAGCATGTTCTTGGTTATCGAATCATCTGTAAGACCTAAACCCCACACATCGGTGATAAGGGTGTGGTAAGTCGACGAAAGAAAAGTTGAAGTCGTCACGTTCTTAAATTACCATAAACGTCTTTTTTATAAATAAAAAATTCCAAATATGAAACAGATATTTCAGACTATTATTTTCTATCTTTTCTTTTCAAGCTCATATTAATATATTGCGTTGACATTTCATCGAAAGTTTACTTCCTGTTGTTAATTGATAATGAATCATCAATACATCAAAATATCGAGTTTAAGGCCGCCACAAGTGATTTTCTTTTCTTTCCTTTCATGTATAAGATTTTGAATAAATCTGCTTCATATTATTATAACAAGAGGCCCATGGGCCACATCGCTCACCTGAGAAGCTTTGACCATTCTGTTCTTTACGAGATTTCCCCCTTGTTATACATAATGCGTCCCCACCCTACCCCACTGATCATAATTTAGACATTTTGAAATCTACACTACCCCATGATCCTTCCATGGGCACATATGTTTCAGCTTTTTTGGCCCAGTGGTTCCTGAGAAGAAGATTTTTCCTATATATTTCTATATAAAACTTTGATTCCCCATTGTGGTCCCGCCCTTTCCCCGGGGGTCATTATTTGAACAATTTAGAATCTACATTATACCAGAAGCTTCCACATAAGTTTCAGCTTTTCTGGCCCAGTGGTTCTTGAGAAGAAGATTTTCAAAGATTTTTCCTATATATTTCTATGTAAAACTTTGATTCCCCATTGTGGCCCCGCCCTTCCCCCGGGGGTCATGATGTGAACAATTTAGAATCTACACTATACCAAGATGCTTCCACATAAGTTTCAGCTTTTCTGGCCCAGTGGTTCTTGAGAAGAAGATTTTCAAAGATTTTTCCTATATATTTCTATGTCAAACTTTGATTCCCTATAATGGCCCCGCCCTTCCCCCGGGGGTCATGATTCCTACAATTTAGAATTAACAATACCCCAGAATGCTTCCACATAAGCTTCACTTTTTCTGGCCCAGTGGTTCTTGAGAAGAAGATTTTCAAAGATTTTTCCTATATATTTCTATGTAAAACTGCATTTTCCTCATTCCTCATTGTGGCCCCGCCCTTCCCCCAGGGGTCATTATTTGAACAATTTAGAATCTACATTATACCAGAATGCTTCCACATAAGCTACAGCTTTTCTGGCCCAGTGTTTATTGAGAAGAAGATTTTCAAAGATTTTTCCTATATATTTCTATATAAAACTTTGATTCCCCATTGTGGCCCCGCCCTTCCCCCGGGGGTCATTATTTGAACAATTTAGAATTTACATTATACCAGGATGCTTCCACATAAGTTTCAGCTTTTCTGGCCCAGTGGTTCTTGCGTAGAAGATTTTTCCTATATATTTCTATGTAAAATTTTGATTCCCCATTGTGGCCCCGCCCTTCCCCCGGGAGTCATGATGTGAACAATTTAGAATCTACACTATACCAGGATGCTTCCACATAAGTTTCAGCTTTTCTGGCCCAGTGGTTCTTGAGAGGAAGATTTTCAAAGATTTTTCCTATATATTTCTATGTAAAACTTTGATTCCCCATTGTGGCCCCGCCCTTCCCCCGGGGGTCATTATTTGAACAATTTAGAATCTACATTATACCAGGATGCTTCCACATAAGTTTCAGCTTTACTGGCCCAGTGGTTCTTGAGAAGAAGATTTTTTAATGACCCAACCCTATTTTTGTCTTTTCTTGATTATCTCCCCTTGCGAGGGGATATGTCCCTTCAGTTTAACAATTTAAATTCCCCTTCACCCAAGGATGCTTTGTACCAAGTTTGGTCAAAATTGGCCCAGTGGTTCTTGAGAAGAAGTTGAAAATGTGAAAAGTTTACAGACGGACGGACAGACAGACAGACAGACAACGGACGGACAGAAAATAACGGACGACGGACAAAATGTGATCAGAAAAGCTCACTTGAGCCTTCGGCTCAGGTGAGCTAAAAATGGGTTCACTAATAACTGGGTGCAATTGGAACCAATGAGAATTATAACAGATCTCCTAAAAATTACAGAGATATAATCATTCAGAAACTCAAGCGTCTCTTACATATTAATTTCAGAGTACTTGTGTATATAACCAGAATGTTTTTAAAAATAATTTTTCAAATGACCAATAACAAAGTAAATTTTATTGATTTTAAATCTTATTAAAAAAGCAGTCATGTATATGATGTCAAAAAGTCTGTATCGGTATTTATCGTGAGGAATGGTTGTTTAAAGTTAAGAAAAGTTGTACTTTTATTATGAGGGATCGTTGTTTTTATTTCCAACATTCGCATTTTGAATCCTAAAGCAGGGTGACCTGTACTAGAACAAACGTAAAAGTACATTCACAGAGGGGTTCATATTGAGTGCAATATATGCCGAAAATGAATTCTGATGAAGAATAAATTGTATAATGAAAATTAGTTTGTTAAATTGTCGTGTGTTCTTTAGTTGTTGCACTCATCAAGGTTCCATTGCTTAACAATCTAATTAAAATTATTCGCTTGTGTTTTCGATATGGCAGCGTTGAGACATCCACAAGCAAATACTCCTGCGATATGTTCTATCGTTTCTTTTTTGCAGATTGTGATATCCAAGTGCAACATGTGCAAGGCAAAGACATGACTAAGAAAATATGGTTCAAACACGTGCTCGTTCGATATTTCCAATATTTGTCAAGTTCTCGTATAAAATACATGCATATGGAATGCACTCTCCAAGTACAGAGAGGAAAC